TGGTGGGTGAAGTTATAAAAACGGGTGAAGGGCTAAAATCCTGGGTGTAACCCGATGAAATCGGGTCACTTGGCAGGTATGGGGAATATTAAACTTTTTAAACCACTTGTCCCGGGGACTAGTCAGGATCAAAAAACAGTCATCATCTATCACTTCTACCCGTCTACCAGCACTAGTGATTTTCCCGAGGAGACTTTTTATGGGATGCTATATTGATTGAATAGTGGACTTATCTAGATCTACCAATAATATAATTAATCAAAGATCATATCAGAATTAATAATAAAAATATTCAATAAACTAATACATGTATTTATCCTTGTACAGATATCTTACAGCTACATTGAAGTACAGTGGTACACACTACAACATACTGTATAGAATGGCTTTCTGTCCATGACCTAATTATCATATATCGCCAACTTCTCCATATAAATACATTGCTGAAGGAGAACCGATGGTCTGAATATATTATAGATATTTAATGTAGAGGTAATTATTTCAAATGTGATTTTGTGAGGTTAAAACTGCATATTTTGTTCATTGTAAACTTTTAAAAAATATGAATAATTTTACATATATGTATTGCTAACTCATAATGAAATGATACAAGTGTATAATATGGTGATAGGATATTGAGGTATGTGTGTCTTTATCAGTCTATTGACAATGTCTGAACAAAGATAAGGATACCAAGGTAACAAGCACCAAGTACAAGTATATACCGTATTTATCCACCAATAAACCCAATTCTGGCAATAAACCTGTCCATATACCTATGTTGTCGTAATGTTTCTAGCTATTTTTTCATTTACACATGAACTACCTTTCACATATAAACTAGTTGTCACTTAAACATGAACTGTCATTTAAACGCGAACTTAAGCCATTATTTTCTTTTACACCAGAACTATCCTTTACACACCAGCCAGTAAACAACACACATGCTAGTTGTCACTTACATATGAACCTGATGTCACAGGAACAACACTTATTGAAAAAAAAACATTTGTCACTGACAAACGAACCAGTGGAATTTCCTACTTACACATGAACTAATTTTCACTTACACATGAACTAACTGCCTTCACACATGAACCAGCTGTCTCTTACACATGAACTAACTGTCTTCACACATGAACCAGCTGTCTCTTACTCATGAACTTACTGTCACTGTTACATGAACAAGCATAACTTATTTTCTTATTTATACATGAACTAACTTACTTACACATGAACTAACTGTCTTCACACATGAACCAGCTGTCTCTTACACATGAACTAACTGTCTTCACACATGAACCAGCTGTCTCTTACACATGAACTAATTACTGTCTTCACACATGAACCAGCTGTCTCTTACACATGAACTAACTGCCTTCACACATGAACCAGCTGTCTCTTACACATGAACAAACTGTCTTCACACATGAACCAGCTGTCTCTTACACATGAACAAACTGCCTTCACACATGAACCAGCTGTCTATTACACATGAACCAGCTGTCTCTTACACATGAACTAGCTCACTTACACATGAACTGTCACTGTAACATGAACAAGCATAACTTATTTTCTTATTTACACATGAACTTACTCACTTACATATGAACTAAATCACCGTTACATGAACCAGCATAACTTATTTTCTTATGTACACATGAACTAACTCACGTACACCTGAACTAACTCACTTACACCTGAGCTAACTCACTTACACATGAACTTACTCACACATGAACTTACTCACTTATACATGAACTAACTCGCTTACACATGAACTAACCCACTAACACATGAACTAACTCACTTACACATGAACTAACTCACTTACACATGAACTAACCCACTTACACATGAACTTACTCACTTATACATGAACTAACTCACTCACTTACACCTGAGCTAACTCACTTACACATGAACTTACTCACACATGAACTTACTCACTTATACATGAACTAACTCACTCACTTGCACCTGAGCTAACTCACTTACACATGAACTTACCCATGAACTAACTCACTTACACCTCACTTACTTACACCTGAGCTAACTCACTTAAACATGAACTTACTCACTTACACATGAACTAACCCACTTACACATGAGCTTACTCACTTACACATGAACTAACTCACACATGAACTAACTCACTTACACATGTACTAACCCACTTACACATGAACTAACTCACTCACTTACACCTTAGCTAACTCACTTACACATGAACTTACTCCCTTACACATGAACTAACCCACTTACACATGAGCTTACTCACTTACACATGAACTAACTCACACATGAACTAACTCACTTACACATGAATTAACCCACTTACACATGAACTAACTCACTCACTTACACATGAACTTACCCACTTACACATGAACTAACTCACCTACACATGAACTAACTCACTTACACATGTACTAACCCACTTACACATGAACTAACCCACTTACACATGAACTAACCCTCTTACACATGAACTTACTCACTTACAAATGAACTAACTCACTTACACCTGAACTAACTCACTTACACCTGAACTAACTCACTTACACCTGAACTAACCCACTTACACATGAACTAACCCACTTACACATGAACTTACTCACTTACAAATGAACTAACTCACTCACTTACACATGAACTTACACATGAACTAACTCACTTACCCATGAACTAACCCACTTACACATGAACTAACTCACTTACACATGAACTAACTCACTTACACATGAACTAAACCACTAACACATGAACTAACTCACTTACACATGAACTAACCCACTTACACATGAACTAACTCACTTACACATGAACTAACTCACTTACACATGAACTAACCCACTTACACATGAACTAACTGTCACCATTACATGAACAAACATAAATTATTTTCTTATTTACACATAATTCGTTTGATGAACCTACTCACTTACACATGAACTAACTGTCACCGACACATGAATCAGCAGCACTAAGTCATGAACATAATCTGTCACCTAGACAACAACTAGCTGTCATCTTCTCCTGAACTTATTGTATCACTAACACATGAACAGTTTTTGTGATTTCAGTTTTTGCACTTGTACCAAATTTGCAAAAAAATAACACCCTGCAAAATTGCAGCAAACATTACAAAACTGCTCACAACATTTACAATAATGAGTCAATGTCATTCAAAAACTACATTGTATGTCAAATTATATAATTATTTACAACAGATATACTGTGTGGTGCGAATGTAACATGTGATTTTCTCTATTAAATGAAAACAAATTTTTACAACAATGTAAGTATATAATGAGAATGTATACTGCTAAAGTGAGACAGAAAATAAATAACATACGTTTATACAATTGTGCACAGGTAAACAAGTCGAGAGTTCCAATACCGTACTTTACCTAATAAACACCCATTTTTTAAGTGCCCCTCATCTTTTTTGTTCTCTAGTCTGAGAGTCACATCCCTTCACCATATTTACCATTGTCGATGAAAAATAAAGTCTGTTATAACTTTTATAATTTTCTTTTGCATTTTGGAAGATACCGTAGTCATTAAAAAATTTAACATTGCTAACGTCCCAGTGTGATTATTAAATAAAGTACGGTATACATATGATTGAAGTTACTTGCTAGCACTTGAACATATGGCTCCATGGGACATAAATGTGTAATATGGCAACAGGAATGATCTAGAAGATACTGCAATTTGCATTACTGAAATTGGAAATTTTATCTAAACATAACAATGAACTTAAATATGTGATTAAATAAATAAGTTGCAAATGTTTAAAATTCATATAGGTAATTGACGTTAATTGTATATCTATGAGGTACCCAGACATCAATGTTGACATGCATAATGATATTTACATATAAATTAAATAATAAAAATATATATATTCATTATTTTTAATAGATACACGAAAACTTGTAATACGTATTTTGGTATATAGTTCTGATGAGTAATAAAGACGGCGTGATCAAACGGCAGCCCTGGATCCAACCAACAGAAATGTGTTGTTGGATAGGAATAGCTAAAAGCTTTTATACATGGTAACCTCCACTTAATTTTGTTATGGATAAAACTGTAGCTCAATTAGGCCAGCACATACCTACTGACCAGGTAATTCTGTTGGTCAACGTCACGCTGCCACAGTAGGTACAATTTTGAGTTTTTCAGCGATATTTAAAAATTCAGATCCTGTATCTGGAATATTTCATGCTTCTTGAAAAAGACTTCCAATGGTGGTTCACTTTCAGATTTTTTTTGATTCTAAGTGATTTGTTTTTGAAAAAAGAACACTAAGCTTGCAGTGAGATTTCGTCCGTTCTGCGGCTAAGATTAGTACCCAAATTGGTACACCCTTATCACAGGCTATGAAATTATGTTTTTATTTCTTCTTTGTTGATGTGCCTACTGCAACAATATATACTGCTTTTATAAATACCATACTTAACTACAGTTGTACTTATCCACTTTCATATTATCCGGTTATAAGAACCAGAAATCAACAGTTAAAAATGCTTAAAATTAACCCCTTCAAAATCCTCCAAAATTTCGTCGACATACATCATTTTTACTAGTTTTCTATTTATGTTTACTTTGAAGTCATTGTGTACTCTTAAAATGTTCCTGAAAACAAAACTATTCAGTGGAAATGCTGATTTTGTAATACTATTAGAGGAAAATGTTATTTTAAAGTACTTTTTGAACCATTTTCTGACCGTATACCAATTTGGGTAGCGTGACGTTCGAGTACTTAGCCCGTTCACACCCATGTAACTTTAGTAGACTCTACCATGCATTGATCTGGATGAGTCCATTATGGTCTACAGGGGTGAAAGGGTTAGTATAACAATCTTACCTGGTATGTCCACTGTTTAAATCCCGGTCTAGCCAAGCTGAATTTTAACACTCAGAACACTGTTGGTTGATTACATTTTGCTAATTATTTCATCTTAATTCTTTTTTCATAAAAGTCCTGCAAGGTATGTTTTTTTTAGAAATTATTTGTCCAAGCTACGTACAGTCATGCCAGAAAAATAAGTTTCCAATGTTTAGTTACAGGTTTTGGAGTGGTAGGAGGCTCCTTAAATCTACATATATAACTACTGGTATAAGCAAAGAAGTAATAGCATGTGTGTCATTTTTTTAAAGGAAATCTGCTCTTTTGTCAAGGTAAGAATATGAAATTATTACATTACACAACAATTAAGAGGCCCAAGACAATCATTAATTACACTAGTGTTGAAGCTTTGAGCTGAAGTCTGTCTGGACCACAGATCTAAAACCCATCTTTGGATGATATGATAAAGGAAATATTACAAAGTATAGAATATTATCAGCAAAATGCGGACAGTAAGTGAAGTTTTTGGATACAGAATTGAACTTTATCTTCAAAGTGGAAATAAACAGGGGCTGGGCGAGATGTGATGTGAGACCAGGGCTTTTTTGGATAAAATGTCGAGCTCTAATTCTGTCCCAGTCTCAATTGACATTGTGTTTATTTCTATTAAATGTAACCTAGAAACACAAAGGAAGACATTTGACCTAACTATGACCTAACTATATATATATATTTATAGATATATTATATAATATATATACATGTTTATGAAATACCAGACATCGAACAAAACAAAACACATTCCACTTTAGATTAACATCACTTTGCTTGTGCAAAAAGATTCATGTCAAACACATAATTATGGGCTTAGGTTAGAAGTCCCATATAAGATGGCAGTTATGTCAAGACATATGACTAATCTTATTTAGGCATAAGACATCTCTGTTCTGCTACCTCATGTTAAACAGTGGTCTTATGGGGGTATAAGACATCTCCATTTCTGCTGCCTTATTTTAGACAATAGTCTTATTGGGGGTATAAGACATCTCTGTTCTGCTACCTCATGTTAGACAATAGTCTTATTGGGGGCAGAAGACATCTCCATTTCTGCTACATTATGTAAGACAGTAATCTTATTGGGGGCATAAGACATATCCATTTCTGCTACCTTATGTAAGACAAAAGTCTTATTGGGGGCAGAAGACATCTCCATTTCTGCTACCTTATGTAAGACAAAAGTCTTATTGGGGGCAAAAGACATCTCCATTTCTGCTACCTTATGTAAGACAAAAGTCTTATTGGAGGGCAAAAGACATCTCCATTTCTGCTACCTTATGTAAAACAAAAGTCTTATTGGGGGCAAAAGACATCTCCATTTCTGCTACCTTATGTAAGACAAAAGTCTTATTGGGGGCAGAAGACATCTCCATTTCTGCTACATTATGTAAGACAGTAGTCTTGATGGGGGTATAAGACATCTTCATTTCTGCTACATTATGTAAGACAATAGTCTTATGGGGGCATAAGACATCTCCATTTCTTATACTTATGGGTGTAGGATCAAGCTGCCAGAAGCAGGCTTTCTGGGAATATAGGATATCTCTATTCATTTGTGGGTGTGGGCATACATGTAACTGCACTAGGGTTCGCTGAATGCTGAACACCGAAAATCTCATCTCGAGGGTTGAGATTTCACTCTCTTTAGTTTACAGGAGTGATTGATCTATATTTTACCGACACTGTCATACTATAAAAACTATGGTACCATCACAGAGGATGCATGAAATGTGTGACAAAATTGATGATGCTACCCAGCCTGTCACAATGCATAAAGTGATTTCAAAATAATAGTGTGTGAGAGTGGTCTTTCCTTGAGTAGGTTTACAAGTTTATATTTACACAAGAAAAAACTGAAATGCATCTATGATTTTAAGACTAAAGAGTTGGAGACATGCTACCTTCAATTGGAAAAGGATCAGAAATTCGGAACGCCACAGATATCTATCTAAATCCTGCACTCTTGAGTAGAAATTAAATACCCTCCACACCTCCATAATTATGTATGACAACCTGCTGCTGTTGTGCCCTCCTGTAAGCTCAGCCTCAGGAGATGAGGTGCCCTCCTGTACGCTCAGCCTCAGGATATGAGGTGCCCTCATGTAAGCTCAGCCTCAGGAGTTTTGCCCTCCTGTAAGCTCAGCCTCAGGAGATGAGGTGCCCTCCTGTAAGCTCAGCCTCAGGAGATAAGGTTCCCTCCTGTAAGCTCAGCCTCTGGAGATGAGGTGCCCTCCTGTAAGCTCAGCCTCAGGAGATGAGGTGCCCTCCTTTAAGCTCAGCCTCAGGAGATGTGCCCTCCTGTAAGCTCAGCCTCAGGAGATGAGGTGCCCTCCTGTACGCTCAGCCTCAGGATATGAGGTGCCCTCATGTAAGCTCAGCCTCAGGAGTTTTGCCCTCCTGTAAGCTCAGCCTCAGGAGATGAGGTGCCCTCCTGTAAGCTCAGTCTCAGGAGATGAGATAGTCTTCAGGAGCGAAGTTGGTTTTGTCTTTTTCATCCAGACCCTCCTCCACAGGTTTCGCTGCCGTGTCTACCAAAAGGTTTGAGTTCTCAACCTGCAGAGTGGAAACCAAGTATTACATATCTAGTATCAGGGAAAAAATACACTGATAGTTTAACTTTTTTAAAGGGACAATTTCGTCAACTAACGCCTTTTAAATTGGGCAAGTACCGAAAATATATCACAAGTTTACATCGTTGATAACAACATTGCCCGCGGCCGATGTCCACTGTGGTCGGTTTTATCTGTTGGGGAAGTCCGTACCAAATATAGAATAAATTGTCCCTTTAAGGTTTATAGGATATGCAATCCGATCAGTCGTAACATGACACACAGGCCCTAATTTTCAGTGGCACTCTAGATTGAGGTAGTTGAGGAAAAGAGTCCCACCAACTTTCTACAGTTGAAAGGTTATAATCCTTTTAAGTTTATGTTTTATTTTCTTTACATTTAAACAGAGACAATTATAGGTGGTACATGTCCCTTTAAAGGAGTTAAAAGGATGTTGAAATTATTGCAGAATTTGCTGCAGAAAAGTATCAACATAACAAAGATTATGGCCATGCTATTTTACAAGGTCAAGCAACTCTACCTTAGTTGCATAACTTTAATGCAAACTGATTATTGGGTTGTCCGAGGGCACAGTAGAAAGTGCACATGCCTTTCACCAAGAAGGCCAGGGTTGGACTCCCCTATCAGACATGGAAAGAAATAATCTTGATCCCCCACCCCCACCCCCACCCGACAACATGGGTTTTCTCTCCAGTACTCCAGTTTCCTCACACATTAGGACCCCCTGCACGTGTTCATCAGGGCCAACAAGAGTGATTAACCCTTTCACCCCTATGTAACTTTAGTAGACTCTACCATGCATTGATCTGGATGAGTCCATTATGGTCTACATTGGTAAAAGGGGTTCACAAGTTCAAATAACTTGTTTCATAATTGTTGTAAAATAGATAACATGTATAGAAGAGTACTTACCACTTCCTCCATAGCCAGGTAATTATGCACCTTGTCGATGGCCTGATTTTCAAACTGGAACTCCTGGGTGAAATCGACACCGTCAGACTTCATGATAGCATTATCCATAGCCTTGAGAATTAGTCCACGCATGTATACGCTCGGGTGTTGAGCGTCAACAAGGTCCTGGGTGATGAAGTTACAGCGCTGTTCTATCGGGATCACCTGGTGGTCCAACCTGTCAACACATCATCGTCACAGAATTAAAACGTTGTTTCTACAACCTCAACATTTCTCAGAGTTTTTTTGTTAAGAATTTGTTTTTACTCAAGTTGATTGATATTAACTCAATGACACAAAACCTTCAAACTACACTTGATGCAAATTCATGAAACAGACACGAAAGTCCGCCTAAGCAGCATGAATGGTTCGGAAATGCGTAAAAAATACCTACCAGACTTCATACGACTTCCACATAGCCCGACGTTGCCTGTACGTGTTGGTGTCAGTAAAGGTAATCACGGAAATGTAGTTAATTTTCTGTAAACAAAAATACAAACACTCTCGTTAAACCATTATCATCATTGCTGAATAAAAGACTTAATTTCAAGAACAAACATTTTATTTTATTTTGATGTTCTATAAGTTAGCCACACAATAAAAGAAAAATGTGTTTCCTGAAACAAGTTTTAAAAAATTAGGGTAGGTGGGAAGGGAAAAAGAATTAATATGAAAAATAATTTTGCTTGGTTTATATAGAGGTTGATCTTTGAAAATTGTGTTAGAAAGGTTTATGGTAGACAAACAAAAATTAGGGTAGGTAGGGTTACCAGAAATATAAAATATGGATGAATAACCTGTCTCCCCACCATGCTACATGTATATATAGGCTAAAATATCCCGACCCTTTACCCCTGTTGTTCCAGGTGAGTTAAGAAGTTGCCGCTAATGAACATTACTAAGTAGACCAATTGTTTTCCCTGTATCACCAGGAGTGGGAGAGTGTTACCTGTCCAAAGAAGACTGCATACATCTTGCCCTTGGAACACGTCACACTGACCTCCAAGTTCCGAGGAAGGTCCCATTCTGAGGCATCAATAAGACATCCCGGGAAACCTAGCATGTTAAGCATATATATGTAAACTACGGACATCTTAGAAAAATCAACATTTCAAACATTTATATATACCAAGTCTGACAATACAAGAGTTCTAATGCAAAAAAATAGCAGCGAAGAAAAAATTACAATTTTGTTAATCAAACTAAAAGAGCAATTTTATTTGTTTAGAATGTCCAATCCAAGGCAGGATTTCAAATGCGGTATACGTGAATCTTGTTTTGTTTGTAGTACACTTCTTACATTGTATTCCAGGCATACGGTAGCTAATTGCATGTGCATTTAGTGTGTGTTAACATTCAATTTTTCGGTGTTTTTTGTTTACAAGATAATGTTTTTTTTGTAGTTTTGTTTAAAGGTATTATAAATAATATACGTGTACAATGCATTAAAGTAAATTGTGATATTTTATTACATTATCTGAATTATTTTAACTATTGTTTTTTAATCCATTTCCTAAAAGTCATGCTACGATAGTACATGTATATGTATATGCAAGTGATTTATATTTGTTTGTGTTTTATGTCCTATTAACAACTATGGTCATTTAAGGATGTGCCAGGTTTTGGTGGTGGTGGAAAGCCGGAGTACCCGGAAAAACCCCACCGACCTACGGCCAATATCTGGCAATTGCCCCACGTAGGTCTCGAACCCACAACCCAGTGGTATCACAACGTCAGACGCCTTAACCACTTGGCCCCCCCACGACCCCTATTATGTGTATATGAGAGAAAAAGGATACCTGTAATATAAGTGCTAGCCAATTTGTAAATAGTTGGGAGGAATTTTCCTGTTTTGAACCCTTGGAAGGTAAAAGTTTTCTGTTGTTTACCTGAGAACCTGTCGTCCTCACGTTCCATCATGATGACCTGTCGCCCTGAGGTGAGGGAGAATGCCCTCAGCTCACTGCGGACGGCACTCTATATGTTTTCTGTATACCATTCTTTATGTGCCCTGTATACTACTATTTATAATCTGTATACATTCTGAAGGGTTGTTTTCTGTTGTTTACCTGAGAACCTGTCGTCCTCACGTTCCATCATGACGACCTGTCGCCCTGAGGTGAGGGAAAATGCCCTCAGCTCACCGCGGACGGCACTCTATATATTTTCTGTATACCACTCTTTATGTGCCCTGTATACTACTGTTTATAATCTGTATACATTCTGAAGGGTTGTTTTCTGTTGTTTACCTGAGAACCTGTCGTCCTCACGTTCCATCATGACGACCTGTCGCCCTGAGGTGAGGGAGAATGCCCTCAGCTCACCGCGGACGTTGACGAACACGTAGGACGAACCCGTTGGTCCATAGGTCTGACTCACCTGCCATCAATAAATACATATTAAAATGTGTACAATGGTTTTTTTTAACAAGTAATATAAAGGCTCACATAGATATAACCCACCCCCACAAAGTGATCTTTGGACCTTTGACCCTGATTGATGACCAATAGAGTCTAATCAGGTGTAAAACATGATGTTACCATACCAGGATGTAAATATTAAAACTTAGTCAAGTGTGACCTTTGACCCTTTTACCTAGACTGATGATGATAGATCTTAATGCTACTATACTATGGTGTAATTACAAACTGAATCTGAGGAGGGGTTTATGAGATAGCTTGGTATACAAAAAATCTTTACTTCAAAAGTTGGTCAAGGGTGACCTTTGACCCTTTTACCGAGACCGATGATGATCAAAGTGTAATCAAGTGTAGATCTTGATATTACTATACTATGGTGTAAATACAAACTGAATCTGAGGAGGGGTTCATGAGATAGCTTGGAATACACAATCTTAAAAACTTGGACAAGTATGACCTTTGACCCTATAACCTTGAATGTTGACCACCAAAATCTAATCAGGTGTAGAAAGTGATTTTACCATACAATGTTACAAAATAAACTAAATCTGTTGAGGTTTAATGAGATATCTTGTACAAAAACTTTTGACCACAAACTAACAGAAGCACAGACACATTAGGCAAGTGATTACGATATGCTCTCTTCATCGAGTTTGGGGTAAAAAATGTAAAGATACAGACTTTTTCCTGGTTCATCTAACATCTGTTTAGGGTAACTCACATCAAATTGAACCACATTGTTCTCTAGGACATCGTTGTACTCTTCAGTTGTGAGGTGAATGTCACGTCGGAACGGTTTCAGTTCTCCGATCGTCAGGTCACAGATCACGATCATAAGGTGAGCAGCTGTCAACGCAAAGAAAGAAAGATCAAAGACTACTTCTACTGAGAAGTTCATAAAACGATCCAAATTTCGATGAAGCACATACCATAAATATTCACATTTTGTGCGCACTCGTGAATAATGCGCAGGTACTTTTTGGGTGAAAAAAATATAGAAAAAAAGACTGAGATTTTTTTCCCCACAATGTTGGACTGATAGCACCAACCTGCAGGGTAGGTCACTAATGAGAGAAAACTAAATTGTATTATTTTAGAAGCTTAACCCTTTCACCACTGTAGACCATAATGGACTCCTCCATTTCATTGCATGGTAGAGTCTACTCAAGTTACACAGGGGCAAATTAAGGGTTAATGTCAAACAGTTAACAGATATACCAGGTTATACATTATATACTGCCAAATAAAAAGTGTTTTTTTCTGCATCAGCTTCAATGTTAGAAGGATGTTTATGAAATATGAAAACTAACTGAGTAACTAGATTGGGAGACACTCACACTCTTAAAGCTAATTTCTTCCAAATATATATATATATTAGGAGGCATGGTACGTAGTATGAGCTAACACTAATTCGGTGTCCTATCAGTGTTTTAAGTGACAAATGGACATTTCTATATAAATAGTGTTTCAACTATCTTAGTATAGTAGTCCCAATGTAGTCACTTATACTAGGAATTGAATTGGTTGAATAATCCACGTTCCGAATATATATTTTCGCCCGGGGGAGTAAAATTTGAATTAAAACACTATATTGATTTTTTTGTATAAACCCCACACGAATAATATTACTTAATTGCGAAGTGAAGAAGTACCCGTTTTAAAAATTCAGTTAATTGATGTCCAAAAAAGTGAGCATTTGTACTGTACTGTATATCCATTGACTGTTCGACTGTTCGAATCACGTCACGGCACTGTGTTGTATCTTTGAGCAAGATACTTTACTCTGCTTGTTCCAGTCTACTAGCTGTAAATGAGTACAGGGTTGGGTAGTGCTAGAATTATTGAATGTTAGCTGTGAGCACCGAAAAGTCAGCACTGGCTGTATGCTCCCCAGGGAATTGAGAAAGATATTGTCTGGTTGCAAAGGCCCTATAACCACGGATAATAATTTGTGAACCGCTTTGAGACGACCTACGTACAAGGTTGTGATAAAGCGGTACATAAGAACCTCAAATTATTATTATTATTATTAATTATCATTGTAATATACATGTAAGTAATGCAATGTTTGAGATCACCTTTGGGTGGGTAGGATGGGAAGAGCATCATGAAGATCATGTCACGCCCATTGGTAGACATCTTGGGCTCAAACAACTTTGTGTGCTTCACCTGTAAGACAAAGCATTACACATATTCCTTTTTATCTAATTCATGTTACATACAACTTTTCTGGACAAGATTCAAGCACATTTACAGCAACTATTTTGCAGTTTTTCCGAGTCAAGGTTTTGGAAAAAGGGGTCATTAAGATTTGTGGTTTTAGCATATGGATACTGTCTTAAAGCACAAAATTAAAATCACAACAGGTTTAAAAGAATTGTTTTACCTCTTATTCCATATGAACACACTTTTGCAAGAATCTTTCCTAACAAAAGTTGGAAATATATTCATTTATAGAAAGCAGACATGTTCACTGCATCCAGTATATCTATATTCGAACACTTTTCATGGGATATTTCATAAATTCTAAAACTTTCCCAGGATACATATATTTTCCAGCATTTTTCAAGAGCTGTACAAATTACATCTACAAGACAGTGTTAGACACATTGTAGAAGAATCCATTGATCCTTTATGATGGAAATGGAGAAATCTCAATCTGCTGAGAAGATTTTTGAAGTTGAACACAAAGATTTGATGATCCAAAAGCACCACACCATCATCAAGGGGAAAAAGAAATTGTTGACAAAATTGATGATACTACCCTGATTACAGTGCATTAAATGATGATTGATAATCTCGGAATATTTTATGTGAGCTGCCTTTACCTGGGTAGGCTATCCCCACTTCTCCGGTCAGGGAACAATATTTCTGTCTTATCCTTTAAGGTAAAGACAGAGGATTCCCTTGTCATACCAATTGTGTGACATCATGTCAACAATGCATCAACGTCACATCAACAATGCAATAATGTCACGTCAACAATAGCAGATCACGTAAGATAACTCTTGATTACTGGAGAATATGAGTTTGAACACTTTCATTTCATGAAAAACCACTTGTTTCTGATAATGAAGTAAAATAATCACTCCCCACTTAATGAGTACAACAGAACAACCTCAACCATGGGGTTTGATTCTTAAAAGTCAGGCCAATTTTTTTCAAAAGAGATGAGTCAGAGAGGAAATTATTTTTTCCGTTTTACATGGCAAAAATGAAATGAGGGTGATTTTTGTTTTATTATGTAGTTTATAAAACGTTCATTGTGGGCATTACCTTGTCAAATCTGTCCGATTTTGTTGCCCAACACACACAGATACTTCCAGGGAAGAACCATGGACCCCCCATTCGTTATTTGTACCGAAATGAGTGCCATTTGTACACAAAGTTAATAAGTCATAATCATTTCAACGCTTGCCTGTATATCTATTTCCTTATCTTTATTCAACCGTTTTCAGGACTTGGGGGACTAACAAGTAAAAACGACATGTGTACCAATTTTTCGGATCTTTTTAAGGTGGTGGCTGGCACATTCACATTTTTTTTTAATATAACTTTCACGATAAAATCGTCAATGCGGTGCCCTAAAATGAAATACGTGCGGGCCTGAGACCCAAAACATTTTTTATTTTTTTTGTCCTAAGCAAAGTGTGTCTGAAAACGTTTGAAAACAAGAAGAATAGTGTCCCTTACCTTTACAGGTTTGTACATGCGGGTCACGTAGGACGAGAGTGTGTCCGTCTCGATGTGCCTCATGACGAGGTGGAACATGGCTCCGGTGGTCTTCACACCGCCCTTGGGGGCATACACGTACAACTGTAAAAATGATAATGTGAATCAATCAGTACATAAAAGTAGGATGTTTTTTTTGTAATGTGACAACATAATGAGCTGGTGGTACAGTTTGTCACATTACATCAATATTTCATGAAATTTTAATGATTACTTACATTCGTAACACAATTTCCTGAATATATATAGGTATTTCCAGGGATTCAGGTTTTAGATTCCACCACTTAAATTGATTCCAGTCTATGTCCTCAACTGATAGTAGACAACAACCACAAATACAAGTAATCCACGACCTCAATTGATATAGTTGTTAGGACTAAAACCCATGTACAGTCAAGCCTCTATAAAAGACCAGTCTCAGTAATTCCAAAATGTGGTGTATGTTAACACATTACAGATGTTCTCTTAACCCTTTCACCCCTTATGTAACTTTAGTAAACTCTTCCGTGCATTGATCTGGATGAGTCCATTATGGTCTATAGTGGTGAAAGGTTTAATACAGGTTCAGTGCATGATGACATCACTACAATGGGGAACATTGAAAGTGGTCCCTTAGCACAGGTGGTCTCTTTATAGAGGTGGTTGTATTAACAGGTATGACTGTATAAGTTTTCCTGACTTCTATTTATATTTTTTATTGAGTTTTGTTGTCTGTGATTACAATGATATATTTATTTGGTATATTTATTATCAATACAAATATTGACTTTGACACAACCATAAAGAACACAATGATATAATTTTTTGGTATACCTATTATCAATACAAATATTGACTTTAACACAATTAGAAAGAACACTGCTTTTTATATATTAACTCATTCACCACTGAAAGTTCATAATGAACTAATTCCAACCTTTGAATTGGAAGAGTTCAAATGTGTGTTCAGGGGTGAATGAGTTAAGGTAAATGGTACCATTATATCAATCAGTTACGAAGAGTTCCAC